TTGCTGGCATAGACATGCCCATGATCAGGAAAACAGAACCATCATGCAACACTTGAGCTAGTCTTAGAGGCCAGACTAGGAATACATTTTACCGTTAATTATTCCACACGTGCATATGAGTCTTCCTCCGAGCCTCGTAGTTATTGCAGACTCGAGAACCATAGCAGTTATAGCATGGAACATAAACATAATTATGAACCGGGAGATAATCAATAACATTTATTATTGCCTCTAGGGCATATCTCCTACAATCCCTAGTTTCACCACTGTCAAGGGATCCAAGTGTCAAGTGTGTGTGCAAGCTAAGAAACCTCGTAAGTCTCACACGACTGCGGAAACGAGAAATCTTGCACCACTAGAGCTCATACATTCAGATCTATGTGAAATGAATGGTGTTGTGACAAAAGGTGGAAAGAAATATTTCATGATGTTAATTGACGACTCCACTAGATACTGCCGTGTGTATCTTCTGAAATCTAAGGATGAGGCTTTGAAATTTTTCAAATCTATAAAGCTGAAGTGGAAAACCAACTTGATCGAAAAATCAAGAGGCTTAGGTCCGACCGTGGTGGAGAATATTTTTCCAATGAATTTGATGCTTTTTGTGCGGAACATGGTATAATCCATGAGAGGACGCCTCCCTACTCACCTCAATCAAATGGGGTGGCTGAAAGAAGGAACCGTACTCTAACTGATTTGATTAACGCCATGTTAGACACATCGGGTCTCTCCAAGGCATGGTGGGAGGAGGCGATATTGACAGCATGTCATGTCCTAAACCGAGTCCCCACAAAGAACAAAGAGATAACTCCATTCGAGGAATGGGAGAAGAAAAGGTTAAAACACTCTTATCTGCGAACATGGGGTTGTTTGGCGAAAGTCAATGTTCCAATTCCAAAGAAGCGGAAGCTTGAACCAAAGACTGTGGATTGTGTTTTCCTAGGATATGCTTTTCATATTGGCTATAGATTCTTGGTTGTAAAATCTGAGGTACCTGACATGCATGTCGGTACGATCATGGAGTCGAATGATGCGACTTTCTTTGAAGATATCTTTCCCATGAAGGATATGGCTACCTCGTCTAATCAGGAGATGCCTAGTTCATCGAATCAGGAACTAGTCACAATTACCGAACCTGCCATTTCGATGGAACACTTTGAAAATTCTGTGGAGGAGAACAATGAAGTTCCTACTAGGAGCAAGAGACAGAGGACTGCAAAGTCCTTTGGTGATGATTTTCTTGTGTATCTCATAGATGACACTCCCAGTTCTATTTCAGAGGCCTATGCATCTGAAGATGCTGACTACTGGAAGGAAGCGGTTCGTAGCGAGATGGATTCCATCTTGGCGAATGAAACTTGGGAGATAACTGATCGTCCTTATGGGTGCAAACCTATAGGATGCAAATGGGTATTCAAGAAGAAGCTTAGGCCTGATGGTACTATTGAAAAGTACACGGCTCGGCTTGTGGCTAAGGGTTATACCCAAAAAGAAGGTGAAGACTTCTTTGATACTTACTCACCTATGGCTCGACTGACCATTATTCGAGTTCTACTTTCACTAGCTTCCTCACATGGTCTTCTCGTCCATCAAATGGATGTTAAGACTGCTTTTCAAAATGGAGAGTTGGATGAGGAAATTTACATGGAACAACCAGATGGGTTCGTATTAGATGGTCAGGAAGGAAAAATGTGCAAGTTGCTGAAGTCTTTGTATGGACTTAAGCAAGCACCCAAGCAGTGGCATGAGAAGTTTGAAAGAACTTTAACTGCTGCAGGCTTCATTGTAAAAGAAGCTGATAAATGTGTGTACTATCGCCATGGTGGGGGCGAAGGAGTTATTCTTTGCTTGTATGTTGATGACATACTGATTTTCGGAACAAATCTGAATGTTATTAAGGAGATCAAGGATTTCCTATCTCGTTGTTTTGAGATGAAGGATTTAGGAGTGGCTGACATCATTCTGAACATCAAGTTGTTGAGAGACGATGATGGTGGGATTACATTGCTTCAATCTCACTATGTGGAAAAGATCTTGAGTCGCTTTGGCTATAGTGACTGCAAGCCCTCTCCAACACCATATGATGCGAGTGTGTTACTTCGAAAGAATCAAAGAATTGCTAGAGATCAATTGAAATATTCTCAGATTATTGGCTCGCTTATGTACTTAGCCAATGCTACAAGACCTGACTTCTCTTTTGCTGTTAGCAAACTGAGTTGGTTTGTCTCAAAACCAGGAGATGTGCATTGGAAAGCTCTAGAGTGAGTTTTGCGTTATTTGAAAGGCACTGAGAATTATGGAATTCACTACACTGGGCACCCAAAGGTGCTTGAAGGGTATAGTGACTCAAACTGGATCTCAGATGCTGATGAGATAAAGGCCACGAGCAGTTATGTATTCACTCATGGAGGTGGCGCTGTTTCTGGGAAGTCCTGCAAGCAGACCATCTTAACGAGGTCAACAATGGAAGCAGAACTCACAACACTAGATACAACTACGGCCGAAGTAGATTGGCTTCGCCGGCTCTTGAATGACTTGCCGGTTGTTGTTAAACCTGTACCGGTATCCTTATGAACTGCGACAATCAAACTATGATCACGGAATTGAGCAGCTCAAAGGATAACATGAAGTCATCAAGACACGTTCAGAGAAGGTTAAAGTCTGTCAGGAAAATGAGAAACTCCGGAGTTATTGCATTGGATTATATCCAAACGTCTAAAAATCTGGCAGATCCTTTTACTAAGGGTCTATCACGTAATGTGATAGATAATGCATCGAGAGAGATGGGTATGAGACCCACAATATGAGTTGTTCACATTGGTAACCTATTCTTTGTGATAAGAGATCCCGTGAATTAGATGTGGAAGACAAGTTGTTGATCAACTGAGAGGAGAGTATCCTTACTATTAACAATACCACTCCATGAAGATGCAGTACTCTCCTAAAACTGCATGGCAGGTTGATGTATATCTTAATGTGTTCTAAGTGCCTCATTTAAGCAGAGATGTTGTCCTGTAGAACATCTTTTGAAGAACACACCTATATGAGTCTGATTGTCAAACGTCGCAATCTATGAGAGTAGGGTTCTCTTTAGTAAACTCATGAAAGGTCTCGGAGTATGACGCATAAGCTCCACCCGCGGGGAAGACCCACGGTAGCCACGTATCGGTCAAGGCTTTATGTGAAGCTAGATTCGAATAAAACTTGCAGTTCAATGCCCAGTCCACTGTCCAAGTTGCTTACTAGTGTAGCATAGAGTTTTAGGTGAAAGTTCAACTTAACAGTCTTCACTGCAGTACCGGTATATAAAACAGTGTTTTGGAACCAAAGGCAAATTTTGTGTGCCTCTGGGATCTGGTGGGGGATTGCTAGAATTTTGTCTATTTTGGGCCTAGCCCAGTAGCAGTTTCAGAAATTCCTAATAAATCCTAGAGGCCCTCGCAGCCCATTCGTGCAAGGCAAGAGATGGAACTAAAGTTTAGTCCCACATTGCTAATTTAGAGGGAGTTGGACCTCTTTATAAGGGAGGTTCTTTACCCACTTGTATGAGCATGAGAACAAGAGGGACATCCACGCGCGCTCCTCCTCCGCCGCCCGCCTCGCCACGCCGCGCCGCGCCGCGGGTTGCGGGAGTGAGCCGAGCCGATGTCTAAATTTTTTCCACACACTACGGGTATACGAAAGGTCACACCGAAGCTGAAAAGATTTTTGCGAAAGTGGAGTTCGAATGCGAACGGTGCAGCCCTTCGGCTGCTGGCTATTCGCTTCATCTCCGTCTCTTCGTTTCGCCTCCCGTCGTTGCCCTCTCGCCTCCTTCTCTTGCGCCTATAAAAGGGAGGTCGCTCCTCTCAGAGAGGCGTGCCAGAACTTCTTCTTCCTCTTGCCACCGGTTCCATTCTCTGAGCTGCTGCAGTCTTCCTCATCCCGGCTTGCGGCGTGCACCGCGAGTCGGGACAGTAGGTCTCCGAAACTGCACCACTTTGAGTCCTGTACGGGAGAAGGGTGATAAAGTTTTTGGGGAGCGCTCCGCGTGACTACTGACTTCTTCATCACGGACTCCGACGACTACTTCCCCGACGCCGACAACCTCATCGACGACATGGCTGGAGAGGATGTCGACCCCAAGTCCAGTGCTTCTGCTGCTGTTGTCCCGTACGTGTTCTTGTCCTTTCTGTTAGGTGTCCTGCTACAGTTCTTGGCTCTAGTTTCTGCCCTACATATGTTAGGTTCTATGTCGTATAAGCAACTTCATCTACTGTCTGTTCTAGATGTGTTTAGCTCAAGTTCATATATGCATACGATGTTTACCTTCTCTCTGTCAGATTGCATGACTTGCTTTATATTTGCTATATTAGTCATGCTTTATCTAGTATTTCCGTTAGCAAAATTATTTTGTAAATTGCTCATATTTCCAACAATTTCTCCACTCCGCTGATCGGCATATCGGATCCGCCATCTCTTCGGGTGGAGGAAGCTTGCATCACGATCCAGATCCAGAGAGAGCGAGTCCGGTGCCCATGAGCCACCGCTGAGATCTGCCGTGGGCTGCGATTCCGGCGTTGGAGACCCGCCCCTCGTCGGCGGCGAATCTCTAGGCCGCCCCGGTGGTTGGGGCAGTCCCTCGCCATCGCCACTCCCGTCGCCACCGTCTCCTTCCGTCACCCATTGGGCCATCAGGTCACCCCGTCTGAATCTCATTTTTCTATGCACTCTGTTAAAAACTATATTTCCGAACAATTTCTCATGGAAATATCTTAGGTCCCACTGCTGATATACATGTCACAAATAGATCTTTTGCAACTATTAGAAATAAAATCATTGTACATGAAGTGGTTCCTAACTCAAATGAGTTTAATAGAGTCGTACAATGTTTCGTGTATATCTTCTCCATCGTAGAGTCTTGATGGAATTTGAACTTATTACACACACACACACACACACACACACACACACACACACACACACACACACACACACACAAATTATTTTGGACATAAAACCTATGCACTTGGAGGTGGTAGAAAAGGGCCTAATTGTTGCATGAGGCAGAAGACGTGTGTGATGAACTCACCACCTGTGGTAAGTTGCCGGGAATGGAAAGCACCTCCACAACGAGGCGCGATGTAGTAAAGCATTTCCACCCACACTGCGCTGACAAGGTCCCAGCAGTCACCTTCGGCTCTGTGGATATCAATGAGCTCCTGGGCCACGTCAAATGCACTAGGCAATAACTGAGAAGTGATAGCTTTCAACGAGTTCTTGAGAAGTTGCATCTGAGTTGCTTGTTCCCTGGGAGTACCCTGGCCTTCTCTGTTAGCTTCAAATGCCTCCATGATAGCTTCCTTCTCACCCAGATGAAGATGCTTTGGTAAAACAAACTTCATTTCCGTGTGGGCTTTGTCGTGCAGGATCTCTGTGCTGGGTGTAAGCATCACACGACACTTGAAGACAAGATACATGATATAATTTGATAGCTCTGTGCTCATCTTCCTCATTGTTTTCCGATCAGAACTGATGCTCTTGTTGTCTTGAAAGTATAATACATCTGTTGCAATGTGCAAGATGAGGACGCTTGTTGGGAGATCCAAATCATTGATGACCGAGTTTAGAGGTGTTTCTAGCCTTGCGGAAACTGAATCTGTATGTCTGTCCCTCCATTGTGGATGTCTGTCCATCCATTTCCCAAGTGCTAATTTACCGTGGGTGCTTGCAAAGTTCCAGTCTTGTTCCCTGGTTCCAAAGGCCAACAGTTTGTCTAGGACAAACTTCTTGAGCTCTTGGGTAATGGGGATGTGGGATATACTGTCATCTACTAGATATTTTCCAATCCTTTGGTGCACAAACGACATGATGCATGTAGTATCTTGATGTCTGGTGAGACTTGTGGTCATGTTGTACTGCCCAAGCATTTCGGACCATTGGTTTGTTGCACACTGAAATATATCCGTGCTGGACACACAGGGTAGAATAGACATGAAGAGAGATGCCACCTCCAAGATTATGGCCCCTATCAGCAATATGTAGGACACGGTGACATCAGCTCGGCTGTGCAGTTGGCCCTTTTCAACAACCTTGAATAACACCAGCGCTGTCGAGACTGAAAGTAATGGAAAGAGAAGGAGCAACGTGCAGAGTAGAAAACCAACAGAACGGACAAATATATCACACAGGAATGAAGACCAATTCTCGTGGTCAGGTCCGTCCGATAATTTGTCAGATAGAAATTCTATGTAAAGAGTACGAATCGGTGCCTTGGTGTAGAGGCGTTCATAATTATGAACGAGTTCTGCACTGACATAATTATATACTCTGTAGCAGTCTTCATTGGATTTCAACCCTTGGAGTAAGCTTAGTATATACTGTTCTTCAATTTCAGAAATAAGCTCATCATTGGTTGGAGTATCTGATACCAGCGAATACTCGCTTACTCCAAATCTTGTCGAATCGGGATTAACCATGTCCTTAAATCTTTGGGCCAACTTATCCCGATGAACATGAGAACTAAGGACCGCCAATTCAGTATTATACGCATAATATCTCAAATGATCCGATGAATACTGATTGATCCTTGTTGGGCTGCCTCTGTAAAGGCACAAGGTACGTTCAGCATACTTAAGGCACCCACAGACAAACATGAGCACCATGGCATACAGGAGGCGCCTATCCGGCCAACTAGTCCTGGAGACGACGTAGCCAGCTGCAGCAACTTGGGTGACCAGCCCCAAGAGGTGGCGCCTCCATAGATCGTTGTCCTGCATGGAGAAGGCAGTCATGGTATCCTGCCCGCCCAGGTGGAGGAGCACAAACGGCGCCCAGAAGAAGAGAAGTTGGTGTTGCGGTCCGTTGGTATGCAGAGCCAGATGCCCCAGCACAAAGATGGCCACGGAGTCGGCTGATAAGTAGACCAGCCATAGCAGTGACGTGAGTTTGCATGACGTACTGCGCCTCCGCATGCCTGCTGCCAAGAAGAGAAACACTTGTAGGCCAAAGCTTACAAGCATTAGGCACTGGATCTGCCATTCGTCCCAGAGCTTCCCCAGTGATGAAGAGTCCAAGCTGAAGCACCAACAAGCAAACACAACAGTACTGTATTTTAGTCGTCCACACTCATGACTTGGTTGGAAAAAGACACAGATTAATTAGCACAAGACAAGGAACAACACTCTACTTCTTCCTTCTCCAAAAAAGCTTATTATAAATTTTGTCCCAAGTCAAACTGGTTATTAATGTTTGTAAAATAAACAGTTTAATTGTATACCAGCTCATCTAAACTGCATACTTGGTATGCATGATGCTTCATATGATACCACCCACTGCAACCCGACTCATAAAATTACTCCAATGGATGGTATTTATAGATTGTCCATTAGGAAGTGAGAGCACAAATGTTATTCTCTCTTTTTCACCTTGAAGCTTGTTCGAAGGTTGTGGTTAATTTACATACAACTTTGCTTTCTCTCCTCAATTATGTAATGCCACATTATCATATGCAGCTTTTGGAGATGTCCTAAGCTACCAACTTATAGTAATATGCACTATATATAAGGGTAGTATCATATGCATGATATTAGTGTATGATACTCGTCACTACGAGCTACTAAAGTTAATACAAAGTCGAGTCATCTATTTTGGAACGGAGGGAGTAGGAGACTAGTCACACTGGATCTAAGAATTAATTACAGTACACATGGAAATGAGTTAAGAAACGTATCTCCACTAAAACATACAATTATCCCATCTCCCTTATTTGATTATCGTGTCACATCAACATTTTGTTTACGAAACCGTGCTAATGCCGGCATGCCGATTTGGCAGTACCAAGGCACGGGTTCGTGAAAAATCTGGCGTTTGGAAACTGCCTATCAGTATTTGATGATAATCCGTACAAATAATTTTTCATGTATACATGGAGCTAGGAGTGCCTCTGTGAACATGGCTATGTTAAGTGGTCCATGCAGGCAAATGTCCATACTCTTTGGTCGGGTTTATAAACCAGGAATGAACTTTTAGGTGTTTAATTTAACTGACAAAACATGTATAATAATCTGCATAAAATATGTATTCAAAATTTCATTTGATGACGAGATCTAAAGATAAACTACCACTAATGGAGCGACGTGTTTTTCCTTGTATTTTTTGGTGTGCTGAGAGTATGTTATCGGCCACTCTCCTTATGGCACTCTAAGCCTAGTATCGGCGTCAAGGCGCATGGCGAAGAACAGGCCCTTGGCTTACTATGTCATACGCCATGATACGCCTGAAGTAAACTCACCTTATAAAAAACACTCAACGTATAATGGCAAAAGCGCAAGGCTTTACGGACCGCAAGGTGAAGAGTCGTGCCATGTGGCTATGCTCACCGCGCTTGATGGCTCTGTGACGGTGGTCTACATAAGCCAAGTGTTCCTTAACGGAGGAGTATAATAAAATTTCTTTTAAAAAACAAAAAAATTCGTCTCCTGTAAGTTGAGCGGCCATCAAAATGCACTCTATCCCTACCACCGCCCAACCAGCCAATTATATCGCGCATAGCACATCTCTCTCTCTCTCTGTCCCCACTCTGCAGCTCCCTCCCTTTGCCGCATCACCGCCGCCTGCCCCCGATCTCGCCGCCGTCCGGCTGGCCTTGCCTCCTCGCCACCAGATCTTGAAGCCGACAACTGCGACACATCCTCTCAACCACCACGACGCCGGCCGACCTTCCACCATGAAACCTAATTGGTCGACCGACCGTCAAAGTGCAGCACATCGACACCATGAGCGAGAAAACCACATTGGTCGGAGGTGAGCTCTTCTGTTTATCACTTTTATAAGTTTTTGTCATATTTTTGTAAGTATGGAAATTTCATAGGCATATAATGATGTTCACAATGGATTCTATCGATATGAGATATATGTGGATCAAGGATATGGATCTAGCTAGCTAGATAGGTTTAATTTGATGTTGATGATTGAGAATATGGGTGTGTGTATAATAGAGTTTATAGCAAATATTGATAGAAGGTGATATGGTTCTGATGGTATGTTTTTTTGTTTATGCATATGATACCATTTTATACTTTGCATATATCGATGTAATTAAGTGATTCTAGGAGTCTTATGTTTCATATGTATATTACATGTTGTTGTTTTATGCATGTTTTTATAAATATTGACATCTTAATTAGTTTGTACGATTTTTACAGATGAACGGTCAGATGAACGGTAGTAGGGGATCGCACGGGCTCATTAAGGCGTTAGCGTTTGACGACGCTGTACTGCTGAACGAGATGAAGGAGACCGCTTCCTAGTATGGCACCTTGAAGGAACTGAATTATAAGGAGGAGGGTGTGCTGATTTTTACCACATAGTACAAGCAGGACCGGATCAGGGTCGTCTATGGTGGTGATATGGCGGTCTGTGCATGAAGGTCCTCTTGTGGTGTATGAGTGTGGGGCATGCGTGGGATCATGAGCTGTCACAAAAATATGAAGACTACTGCTCTGTTATGACCGCCAATGAGGAACCGTATGTGGCATGGACTAACCCGGTGGTGTTGCTGGGCACCGAAAATCCAGTCTATATCCGCGAAGACGGAAGACCCATCCCCGCACCACACCCCACCTTGCCGGAGGGGTAGCCGACGCGTTTATGCATAGTATGCTATTAGCATCTTAATTTCAGGGTCCGGCTTGTGGATGCCCTTCGTATGATAAACTATTTTTTTGGTTGTATGACTATTGATGTCTAGCTATATGTATCGATGCGCCTCATATATATGATGCAAGTAATGCTTGGACTCGGAATTTTTATTCATTGTTTTCATGTTTAACAGTGGAGTTGAGTTATTTAGTTTCACATTTGCTAGATAGAACTATTGAGAGTTGTGAGTACGAGATGGTTTCTGCAAGTTTGTTTCAGTCGAATTATATCTTGTTAATATATTTTGACTAATGCCCACTCTTTTTACAAAGAACAACTTATCTCATTTCCTATGGTACAATACAAAAACCATATTACTCATATATTCCTCATATCTGCAGTGAATGCCACGAAGAAGATGAAATTATCTATATCACTCTATTTTGTTAGTGGATCAATACAGTACACGTGGAAAATATATATCGACATGTAATATTAAAGAGATGTTATGTGTTGTTCACCATTTTCTGTTTTGATGTGTCAGCATGGTTATTTTTATGCTCCTTTTGTATTTATTGTTTTCCTTGATGCATTCTTCTCTGTTGAACTATTCATGAAACAATGGTGTAGATGCACGAGAATCTTGCATAATTCCATAGATGACTCTCAAGAAAAAACAAATTAACAAAAGCTTGGTTGTTCTACATCAAGATTTGTATTCTACTTAGTGTGCACGACAAGATATTGTTTATTATTTATATTATCGTATATTAAGATATGCTGGTAGCTGAATATTCTATACTCGTTAGTTAATTCTTTTGAAGGCCAGGGTGCAACATTGGATGGGATCCATTGGTAGCGGTGCATTGATCCAGTTCCCAAAGGTTGTCGTGAAGCCAGAGATCTCATGCTCATTCCGAGATGATGGCGCCTCGAGCAGATAGATGGGGAGCCGAGTAGCATGAAGTGAGGAAGAGGACAACACAATCTATTCTCTCTAGATGAACTGGAGAAGAAACCCCACGTCTATATAGAAGAAAGCTGAATGAGCGTGTGCATAATATAAATGGAGATGGGAGAATATCATATGGAAACAAAGATTCCATGACTTGATCCAAATTCTATTAAGGGTTCAGTTGTGTACTAGGTGTCATTTTGACAGACTTTATGCATGATGTCTGGTTTCTTTGGATGATATATGGTGTAAAATAGTCCAATACACAACTTTGATGTGGGTCCTCCTTCACTAACAGGACTATCGCGCATGAAGGTTCTCGACTTACAATAAATTTCAAAATAAGAATTAGGCTCTACATATCGACATATATGGAGTGTGTAGAAAAAAACTACTTCAGATGTTGCCGCTCCTCGGCACGCACCAGACGCTGCCGATTCTCCTCCTTACCGGTGTCGTCCTAGGTCCATGATCCCTAGCCTATGTGAGGACCTTTCTAGTGAGCCACAGATGGCTGCCTACCTCCCATGAATCACCATAGCCTCTGCCTCGATGCGCTCATGGTGGCCCACATGCTTGGAACCATTTCCGGTGAGGTGGGGCCACATGGAGGCATTTGTCCACACCTACGACCAAGAGGGGGAAGGGGCATCTAGCCCATAGACGAGCTCCGGCGCCCGGCCGGGATGGCCACGAAGCCACCACCATCGCCGAGAGCCAGGGGAGGTTGTCAATGGAGTATGAGGATGTGAAGGAAGATCAAGGCAAATGTGTGGTGCATGGGTAGAAGGTAGTGGTGTGGTGTG